GCGGGGGGGGGGAGGGGGCGGGGGGCCCCTCAGAAGTATCTGTTTCGAGGTCGACACGGGCTCTTCCGAGTCGGATTTCGTGTTGAGATCTTCTTCATTGTGGCGAGTGCGCAGAAGGCGGGGCGGAGTGTGCAGCGGCGGAGTGTGCAGCGGCGGAGTGTGCAGCGGCGGAGTGTGCAGCGGCGGAGTGTGCAGCGGCGGAGTGTGCAGCGGCGGAGTGTGCAGCGGCGGAGTGTGCGGCGGCGGGCGTCCGCCTGCAGCGCGCTCAGCCCGGCTGTGTCGCCTTCAACGCGCGTCGAGACGACGGCGAGCCTGAAGCGGAGATCGCCATGAGATCGCCGTGAGATCTCTCGGCTGCTCTCGGCTGCTCTCGGCTGCTCTCGGCTGCTCTCGGCTGCTCTCGGCTGCTCTCGGACCAGCGGTCAGCCGGAGCGACACGGTGTGCGCCACCAGAGCACACGAGGTGGATGTCGTGCTTGCGGCCCGCCTGGGGGACACGTCTCGGACATGTCATGGACGTGTCCTGGACATGTCGAGGTGGATGTCGTGCTTGCGGCCCGCCTGCGCAGCCGGTATCAGCAGCCGGCAAGAGCGTGCGTCCTTGCACTTGTTCGGCGCGTGCGAGAGCAAGGCGTACATCCGCACGACCTGAGTGATGCCTCGAATACCTCGGCTACACCTCGGCTACACCTCGGCTACACCTCGGCTAGACCTCGGCTAGACCTCGGCTAGATCTCGGCTAGACCTCGGCTAGACCTCGGCTAGACCTCGGCTAGACCTCGGCTAGATCTCGGCTAGACCTCGGCTAGATCTCGGCTACACCTCGGCTAGACCTCGGCTAGACCTCGGCTAGACCTCGGCTAGACCTCGGCTAGATCTCGGCTACATCTCGGCTAGACCTCGGCTAGATCTCGGCTACATCTCGGCTAGACCTCGGCTAGATCTCGGCTAGACCTCGGCTAGATCTCGGCTAGATCTCGCCGAGTAGGACGTCTCGACCGCCTCGGGCGCGTGCTCCGGCGCAGCGATCACGCAGCCGGCCTAGTCCCATACCTCCAGAGTGTCGAATCCAGTGTGGGCTCAGCTCGGTGGGTGGTGCGGCATCACGCGGCCACACCTCCACCGACACCCCCTCCGACGTCACTCCGCACGCGGTGCCATCGGGGCGGTACATCAGCCCGTCGACTGGCCGCCCGACGAGGGACGCGCCGCCGTGCTGCGCGAGCACCTAGCGGTGGTAGCAGTAATAGTAGTAGTAATAGTAGTAGTAATGGTGGTCGTCGTAAGAGTAGTAAGTGGTCATCATAGTAGCTGTAGAAGTAGTAGTAGTAGTGGTAGCAGCTGCGCGAGCACCTTGGCCGCGCCGCGAGCGAAGGCGGAGCCGCTGCCCTTGACTGGGTAGACGTACCTATTGGGGGCGGCGGAGAGAAGGCCTGTGGGGGGGGGCGGGTCCGACAAGGACACCGTTGTCCTCGACCCGGGCGCACGCACGGGGGGGAGGGAGAGGGAGAGAGAGGGAGAGGGAGGGAGAGAGAGAGAGAGAGCACACACACACCCCCTCTCCCGTTTCTCCCATGACGCTAAAGGCACGCACGGCGACGTCATGTACTGGAAGGTCTTGAACGAGCCGCGGTACCGCTTCATCGCTCGCACGAGGTCGAGGGCTGTCCGCTTCCGGAGCGGGCGCGTTGGCGCGCCGGGCGCCTGCGAGGAATGAGGACTGATCGATCGCCTCTCATGAGTGAACGTGCGCTTGCCGCCTGCGCGCTGGAAGTCGCCAGCGCCGGGACGGGAGCACGGCTGGAGGTGCGGCGCATTGAGTACAGAGCGAGTACAGAGCGAGTA